CAAAATACAAAAGAGAAAGTAAAGTAAAATAACCCCAAGGGATGCAACCCTTCAAAAAAACGAGAAAGAAATTAAAACCGTTCGGCTTGTCTCGCAGCACTGCGGCGCCAGATTGGGACAGCGGTGCTCAAGCCTTTGTCTTGCACCGTTGCGGTGCTATGCTCTCTATTGTTCAGCCCTAGGACACTAGGGAACACACTGCCAGAGCATTGTACTATAAAATAAATTCATATGCAAAACAGAGGTAAACCCCCCGCATCCCCCAACAAACACAATAACTTTTGAGGACTAAGACAAGAATAATCAAATTGATCAACACAATCAGATTCCACATATAATAGTGACTCGATAAACTCGACTGATCATGAGCTTTTTAATAAGTCAAGTTCGAGCTGAGCTCGAGCCGATTCAGCTCACCTACACCGCTAAGTGAGAATTTTTGCAATGATCCTATAAAAATTTTCTTATTTTCATAAAAGTTGAATTGAGACTTTTTAATGAAAAAATTTTCTATTTGTTAACATTCATAAATAAACTCAATTTTATATTGAGAGAGAGTGAGAGAGAAATTGTATTGTGGTTTCCTCAATTCAATCAAAGCAAATAAATCCTAGAAGAAATAAAGTATTTTGATCGTTTCTGCAGTTCTCATAACAATAAATTATATAGATGAAGATTACTTTAAACACCCCAAAAAACTAACATATTTTCAAAAAAAACTTATACTATATTATCTGCAAGTAGAGTTCAGTATGCGCAAAATGATGGCCTGCATAACATTTTATTTATGTTAGGCAAACAGTGCAAGCCATACAGTGGAATCAAATCAAACAAACTAGTATTTTCAATTATAAAAAAATAATGGTCCATCAATAATAAATGAATAACGCATTGCTTACAAAGTTTTTTTTTTGGGGAAATTTAGGGCCGAAGCCCAATTCATTATACCAAAAGGAATACAATATAAAAGTTGAATGCTACCACAACTTACCAGTAGCAAAACAACCAAACCATAACAGCTTACAAAAATGCTGCAGAAAAAGTAAAAAACTATTAATCTCTATCAGCTTGAGCTGCAGAAAGAGAAAAACAAAATCCTAATACAAAAATCTATGCACCAAGCAAATAAACATTCAAACAGACAAAAATTGGCTTCAAACAGACAAAAATTGTCTGTAGCAGAGTATCTATGAGGTCCATCCAGAGCAAAAGACTCCCAAGCCATCGGGAACCTGGACTCAGTCAATGCTTTAAGGCGCTCGAAGAAAGAATGGATATCCCTGGTTGCCCAAAGGTCGTCCAAGGGAGGCAGATACAGGAGTGGCATCATTGTCCAGGTTCGGCTTACTGCCATAACATAATTCGAATCAGCAGCAACCGTAAGAATTCCATCACAGGGACCAGAAAGAAACTCAGTTCCTGCATACCAACTTCTCCCAACTAGTGCCATTACAACAATTCCAGGAAGTATATAGAGTTTTTCCAACCAGCAATTTTATCAGAAATGTTACGCCTGACAGAATAAGAAAGGGTAATACTGCAACTAGAAGTATCTCCAAATCTTCTCCCATTCCTCTCTTTCCATACATGATAAATAACACAGCAAACAGTCATGTAAAAGAAATGTTTGACCCTCTTATTACCTCTATATTTGCCTTTAATCCACTCAAAAACCTGCATAATATTGGGTCTATATAGAAATGTTTTTAAACCAGGTATAATAGCAGTAAGCACAGAAAAAGTAAAGTCACACTCAAAAAATAGATGGGTGACAGATTCGTTATATGCATGGCACAAACTGCAACTTGTTGGCACAATGATGTTCCTGATGAAAAGTTCATCTGCAGTTTTCAGACCACGGGCTAAAGCCATCCAAGCAAAAACAGAGTGCTTAAGAATATTGTTTTTAGACCAAATGAATTTGTGCCAGTAACAGGTTTGGAAGTCAGAATAAAATTCTTCAACAAACCTATTAAACTTATAAGTATTGCAATTCTTCCATAGTAAACAGTTAACATCTGTGTCATGAATGCTAATACCCCCAATTAAGTGTCTTAATGGCTGAGGAAAGTTATCTGGGAAGACCCATTGATTTCCGGATATTAAAGTTTGAATGGTGATATCAGGGCAAGGACCCTGGTAGCTTCCTCCCAATAATTCCGTTAAAGTGTGATTTTGACACCAATGATCCCATTTGAGAGAAATGGGAGCAAATTGAGTAATTCTGAAATTAAAATAGTGTTTGACATCCAAAGCAGTTTTGCATATAGATTTCCAAAGTTTGGAAGCAGAAGCAGGAGGAGGCATCCATGGAGATTTATATAAACTGAGCAGCCAATTGGAAAGAGGGGAGTTAACATTATACATCCTGTATATAACTGAGCATTTATAAGCAAATTGGAGAGCATTGACAGAGGGGATGCCCAAGCCACCTTTATCTTTGGGCAAACAGATCTTATCCCAAGCAACCATTTGCAACTTTTTTACCGCCACAGAGTCACCAAAAAATAAGAATTTAGAACTGGATCTCTTTACAAATTTATAAACAGTTTTAGGCATAATAGCACCTCTGATCCAATAAGCAATAGTATTCTGAATGGTGAATTTGATGTACTGTAATCTACCCGCAAATGAGAGGAGGTTAGCTTTCCAACCATTCATTTTTTTACTAACAGAATCCATGAGTGGCAAAAAGTCAGCAATTTTCAATCTATAAAAAGATAATGGGATGCCAAGATAAGTAATATTATTAACAATGTTGTGAATAGAGAGAGATTGACAGATGTCATTGGCATTCCTTAAGTTTCGAGGGAACATAATGGAGCACTTATCATAGTTAATGTTCAACCCCGTGGAGGAAGCAAAATCTCTAAGAATAGAGGCCAAGTTGGAGCAATTCTCTATAGTGGCTTCACCAAATATAAGCACATCATCAGCATATAGCAAATGAGATAGAGAAAAATTTTCATGAGAAATACCTTTAAAACCCCTTTGCTCTAGAAGATTAGATAAGGTGTCCATGACAATACAAAAAAGGTAAGGACTGAGAGGGCAGCCCTGTCTAAGACCAGCAGAAGATGAAAAATATCCCTCTAATGACCCATTTATCAATATAGAAAAATTGACATTCATAATACAAGCTTTGATCCAGTTTACAAAAAGACTAGGAAAGCCTTTCTGTAACATCCTTTCCAGCAAGAATTCCCGGCAAACAGAATCAAAAGCCTTTTTGATGTCCAGTTTGGCACAAAAGAAGTTGCAGCCCCTCTTCTTACCAGCATAAGATAGTAAGTCGCTAGCTAGTAAAATATTATCAGTTGAAACTCTAGATTTCACAAAACCTGCTTGATTGTCCTTGACAATCAAACACATCAACGGCTTCATTCTTTCAGCTAGAACCTTGGTAATAATTTTATAAAAGACATTACATAGCGCAATAGGCCTGTAATCAGAGATATCAGTGGCATTTTTAAATTTAGGGACAATAGCCAAAGCAGTGGCTTTAACCCCATTAGGCATGTAACATTTATAGAAGAAGGATTTGACAGCCCTACATACCACAGGGGCAATAATGTGCCAAGCTGATTTGTAAAAGAAGAAATTATACCCGTCTGGACCAGGAGCCGAATTGGATTTACCCGAGAAAACAGCATGCTTAACTTCTTCATCTAACACCAAAGTAGTAAGACAGGAAGCATCATACACAGATAACTTTGAGCCAACAGGAAAACCCGAAAGATTCAGGTTAGTAATAGCAGGAGGGTTATATAACCCTTGGAAATAATGAATAATCAAGCTGGCCACATCAGAATTGGAGTCAGCAGACTCATTAGCTAAAAAATTTACCACAGAATTGGCAGCATTTCTTCTTTTCTTGATTTTGGCGTAAAGAAACTTCAAATCATCCTCCCCATACCTAATCCAATTAACTTTAGCCCTTTGAATGGTCCAAGAGGATAGCATAGAATTAAATCTAGAGAGCTCAATAGAACAAGCTTTTAAAGATTGACATATACTAACATTATTAGGTTCCTCCTGCAATTTACCCATAAGCTCTAACTGCAGCTCATTCAACCTTTCCAAGTGCCTAGAAACACAGGTGGAAGAGGACCAGGCCTGGCATTTAATTTCCTTCTTAAGGAATTTCAAAGACTTCATAAATTGGGAAATGGGATTTCCCTCACAATTTTTAGAGAAAGCTTCCAATATATAATACCAGTATTGATCCAATTTGGTCCAGAAGTTTTTAAAAAGGAATCTATGATGCCTTTGTATTGTCATACCAGAATTAAGAATAATGGGACAATGATCCGAGCAAGACGGGTTTTGGATAGCATAATAGGAATTCGTGAAGGAGTTAAGCCAGCTTTCATTTACTAGGACACGGTCCAGCTTTATATGTATAGGGTTGGAAGAACGCTGGTTAAACCATGTGTACTTGAGACCAACAGAGCTTAAATCCATCAACCGGTTGTTAAAAATCATGCTATTAAAATCTAACAAAGCAGACTGATTGGTGGCATTACCTCCAGACTCTTCAAAAGCATACCGGCAGCAGTTGAAATCCCCAATTAATGCCCAGGGAAGGTCAATGGTGGAGGAGATTTGGGTTAAAGAATCCCACAGTTCCTTACGCTCGAAGGATTGATTAGAAGCATAAATAGCAGATAGGTGCATCAAAGGTTGATTGCTAACCCAAACAGTACCAGAGATTAGCTGATTCGTAATAGTGCTAGGCTTGAAGCAAATTTTGTTAGCATCCCATTTTACCCAAATCCTACCCGAGGAGGATAAAGTAAAATTGTTACAGCTCTCTTCATTCGTAAACAAAGAATGAGAGGAAACAAAAAAGGGATCTAGAAGAGAATTAGAACTAATTCTGTTTTCCAGAATGCAGACCAGTTGAAGACTGAAGGATTTGATGAGGCGCTTGCAGCTCAAGACTTTATCAGGGTGATTAAAGCCCCTGATATTCCACGCTGCCATAGTGGGGAAAAACATTAGGAATTTGGACGGGACTGGGGCTTCTTGCTCTGCTTGCCCCTAGCAAGTTTTTTCAACATCAAACTATCTTGAGTTTGCTTCCCTTTGTCCACATTTTTGGCATTTCCACCAGCAGTGGAGCCCAGATTAACTTCATTTCTCTCCTCCAGATGAGAGGATATCACTTCTTCAGAGTTCGGGATATCAAACTTATTAGGAGATATGATGTCTTTAGAAGGGATGATTTTAGAGACTGATGAGGAGGAGATAGTTTCATGAGGGGAGTTGAGATTGGGGATACCCGATACCACAGCATCCTCAGATAACGGAGGGTCCGATTCCGGGAGACCATCGACAGCAGACTTAGGAGGAACCTTTTGGGAGGTAGGAGAATGAGGTTGAAAGTGCATAGCTTGCCCAATAGCATTCATTATGACGGCAGGTTTTGAAGAAGACAGGGCTGTGGTATTAATATGTTCTGTGTTAGGCTTCTGAGGGGTGGGCTTACTGTTATTGCAATTGAGTTGTGGTTCTGGTTGGGGGTTAATGACTGGAGGTCTGGATGAATTCGGATTCCTAGAAGAGTGCTGGCTATGCGGCTTCCGACTAAAACTCCTACCTCTCCTCCCAGTGTTAGCTCTGTCCTGAGCTTCAGAAGGCATTTTCGGAATTTTCGGACATATGAAGGAAGCATGCATTAAAGACTTACAGTGCTCGCAGGGGATAGGATGCCACTCGTATTGCACCTTCAGAGCAACAATATCACCGTCTAAGGAAACCTTTATTTCATCAGGGTAATTGGCTTGATTGTCTACAAGAACACATACGCGAGCAAATGTAAGTCTGGTTTTCTGCTCCGTCAGCTTGTCCGCTGCCACCGGAATACCTATCTTACTGGCAATACGAGAAATTCCCTCGGAGTTCCAACATGCAAGCGGTAAATCGTGTATTTTCACCCATATCGGAACGGAAGAAAATTCTTCCTTAATTGGCTTGAACTTCGGATGCCACTTTTGGAGGACAAAGGGCCTGCCAAGAAGAAACCATACTCCACGCGACCACGCCATATCAAAGTCTTCTTGGCAGGAAAATCTGAGCAGAAAAAATCCCTCATTTAGGGATAAGAGCTGCAGCGAGCCTTTTAGATTCCATGTTTTGTTGATGGCTCCCAGTAAGGCTTCGTAAAAAGGACGTCGACCTATCGAGTATCCAGACAGAGCTTCCAGTCTTCCCCCCCTAAACTCAACTTGTCGCCTGAGAAGGGGATGATATCTGGCTCCGAGGGGTGGTGAGAAAATTGGAAAGCTTTAGGAGCCAAAGCATCAGGGGCAAACATATGATTCCAGTTTTTGGGGAGAGCACAAACCTTCCCACTTGACGAAGAGCCAAGAGGAGGGAACTGAGAAGCATCAGGGAGATTCGCCATGGAGATTCGAAGGAGTGGAGGCCTCCGGCGTAGCCGGAGGCAGGGAAAACAGAGGAGAAAAACAGAGCCAGAGGGCGGCGCTAGGAGAAGGAGGAAAAAACCCTAGCTCGTCGATGTAAAATTATCATAAAAAATTAAAATTATACGTGCGTTATAATTTTTAGGTCAAGAAAAAAATAAAATAATACATTTTTCCATAGGAATCAACTACACGTATTTATGAATTTAAGAATTTGTTTAGGATGGGAGAGATTATTATGTATGGTGCCCGAATATGTCCGGAGGCCAATTTGGATGCACCGCATCATCCACTGCACTATGCATTGAGTGACATGGCGCGTCTATATTGTGCTCCGGACACATCCGGACAACGCACGTAATATTTTTTTCTTGGGAATGTTGCACACTTGGGAAAAACAATTTAATAACTTTAATTTAAAAAAAAAATTCAATTTTTCACATAAAAGATTTCTAAAAAAATTAATAACCAAAAATATTATAGTTGTTATTTAAAAAATAAAACAATGAAAAAACTATCCCAAATAGACTCTTAGTCAAACATAAAAATGAAAGATGTCTCCTTAAAGTCATAAAATTCTCAGGATTTAAGCTAACTCTTAATTAACTTGTTTAAAATAAAAAGGCCCAAAAGATCGTGAATTTATTATGTGCAAACGAGAGGCCGTTCGAAGGAGAATCAGAACGTGCCACATCACCCGTTTGCTGTGTACTACGTCTGTACATGTACTACTGTGTACCGGATGACATGACACATTCTGATTCGCATCCGACCTGTTTGGTGTCCGCACAGAATAATTTCTCCAAAAGATCAAGGGGCAAAAGATGTTCCAGGGAGAGAAAGTACTCAAACCATGTCCTCTATACTATTTAGTAAAACATAAAGTTTATAACGTTTACAAATTTCAGCTCTCCTAACATTCCTTCCAAGTTTTCCCAAAAAGAAAGAATTATATTCCTTTCTTCTCATCTTCCACAGCCAATCCCTCCATAACTTCTGCTACGTTTCTTTAATTGCTCCTTTCCCTCAGCTCAGAACTACAGCGATAAAAAATCAAAAGTCAATTGTCTTAATGCGAAACATAGCATTTATTCCCTCACCAAACCTCCTTCGCAAAGGATACATCATATCCACCATTGATGGCTTTGCCAATCAAAAACCACAAGGGGAAGAACTACCACCACAGCCTCCTTCGATTATGTTTAAAATGAAGAAAGGTAAAGAATAGGCTATACTTCCCAAATCAATCTACATAAAAGAAATTTTCTTGTGAATCATCATATAAATAGTCTATAAATTTATTGGGATTCTAATTTGGGAGTGTAGACATAATATACAAGCCCTAACATGCGTTCAAAGATTCAACTATGTTGGTTGAGAGCTTTGACTATCAACTAAGAATTAAGAGATTTTGAATTCGAGTCTTGCATATGTGATGACTAATTGGCCTAATTAAATGTCATAAAAAAACAAATGTTCAATGTAAATCCAAATTCAAAGTAAGAAAAATGGAAAGAAAAAAAGAACTATTGGATAATTAAAAGATTGAAAAGAGATGGAAAACAATGACAAGGCGGCCAACTTAATAGAAAACACATAATCCAAATTATAAGAGACTTGGGATTCGTTTGGGATGGCTTTCTTATTGCTTCTTAAAGCAGGTTTTTTGTAATTTTTTTTTTAATTTTTACATTAAAAAGTAGTATTTTAAGAAGCAATAAGAAAGCAGTCCCAAACAAAGCCTTAAATAAGAAGCCTTGATTTATCAAAAACTAGAAGATGCAAAGTCCTAAGCAAGGAAGGCAAAGTGGAGGCAAATGGAGAATGTTTTAAAACAGAAGAAAGAAATCTCAAGAAAGGAATTTGCTGACTCGAGAAAGGAAAGATAGGAAATCTCTCTCTCTATCTATCTATCTATCAAAATAAGATTCAGCAAATAAAAGATCGAAACTTTCTGTCTTATCAAAAGACCCAAAATCAACTAGATGCATAGAGATAGTCCTCTCTTCAAACAGATAGAGAAATGTGGAAGAAAGAACTAAGGACTCTTTGATATATTAAAAAGGAGATGATTTTTCTCTAATATTATAAATTTGAGATATATATTTTATAACTTACTGTTCTTCATTTAAAAAAAATAAAATGATAAAACTATAAGAACATAGCATTCAATCCCAATATCAGAACAATCAGAGCACAATGAAAGCCTTTTCCTGTAATCTATGGCCATACAGACGAAGCAAAGAGTTAAAGGTCGCCCACAATGGCAATATCCCCAATTCAAATCAACAAAACACTGCATATAAATAAAGAGAAAGAAATTAGATTAATCACTCAAATTACATGAAATGTCAATCATAATTTAATATAATAAATAGAGCTTATAACTAAGATTTACAACAGCAACAGCAACAGCAACGATGAAAAGAACAGCTTAACAACAAATAGGAAATATCATATAGCCCCCATCGAGAACAAACCAATCAACAACCATAGCATCACTCATCATTCACATCTCAGTCAGCCTCCTTCAAACAAAAAAAGCATCAGAGAAAGAAAAGAGGCGAGAAGAAGAAGGAAACCCTAGCCTCGGCATTGGGTGATTCTGGAGCAGCCTCGGGAGTAGGGATTCGCCTGGGCGCCGGGGCGGCAATTGTAGTAGGAAGCGCCGCGGCGGGAGCAGGGGACGGAGCCACGTCTGAGAGAGCTGTAGCTGATGTAGCTCGAGGTCGCCAGGATCCGACGGCTAGATTCGGAGCCAAGATCGAACTCATTGGCTTCCAGGCACTCACCAATCGTGCCACTGCAGGCAGATCGTCCCGGGATCCATCCAACCAGCGGCATCTCCTTGCTGGCGACCGCCGGCGAGGCAAGCAGGGACGCCATAAAAGTTATGAGTAGGAGAAGCGCAGCAGAGATCCTCTTCGCCGCCATTGCTGCCGCCACCTCTCTCTCTCTTTCTGGAAACTGTGGAGAGATCTATCTAGAGAAAACAAAGGTAGAGTCTTCCTCCGCGTCTCTTTCTCTGCCGTTCAGCCAGGAGTGGAGAGATAGGCGGAAAGAGGATTTTATGCTGATAGGAGATTTGGAAAAAGGCATGGAGTTTGAAGGAATTACGGGAAGGGTATTTTGGAGCGTCGGCGGGAGAAAATAGCGCAATGACTTGGGAGCCACTCCGTGTCTTGTAGATTATTTTTTTGGATGAGAAAAGTTAAGTGCTGAAAATATTCCCCTAAAAATGTTACAAAAATATATTTTTTATTAAAATTTTGTTTTTATCTACTTAAATACAAATTATATCATTTATAAATCTATAATTTATTTTGATTTTATTTTTAAATAGTTTATATTTGAGGAAAATTTAATTGATTTTACACCCGCCATGTTATAATCTGTATAAGTTAATGCGATTAAACGCGAATCTTGATGTAATAGTTGAGTTTAAAACCTTTATAATTATATTTAGGATCATCTGAACTCTATTTTTTTGTAAATTTATAATTGAATTAAATATCTTGATGAGACAAATCAATTAACGCCAAACAATAATCTAATTTGAGTTGAAATAAGCTCAGATTAAACACTTGAAGCATAAATACAAACTTTAGGAAATCGGATTAACAATTGATCTCTAAATGTTATATTTTTATAGTCAAATCAAGCATCTTGATGAGATAAAGCATACAAGCCTAAGATGGCTTAATTCAACATCATTAAGGTGTACAAATGTTGAAAGAACGGGTCTATCATCAAAGAAATAATAAGAGTCGTCCAATGACGATGGAGTATTTTGGATTTCAAATATATTTATGAAGAGTGTCATTTTTTAAAATTTAAATAGATTAATTTCTCTACATGAAGAGGGTTGGGGACATGAGAGTAGGGGTGAGCTTAGATGTTTAAAGAATCATAAAGCCTCAAATGGTTGTGTCATTGGACCATCGTTGAGTCACCAACAAAGAATTATCTCCTGACCATTTGTATCAGATCACCATCAAATTACCTATGTCAAACCACAGCTTGGACTCTCAATCATCATTGCTCAACTATGGTCTTTCGGCCTTGATCACTTAACTATGGTCTCTCGATCATTGTTACTTGACTACCATCCTCTAGCCATCATCGCCCACCTATGATCATTCGACCATCATCACCAGGGGTGTAAACGAATCAAGCCGAGCCAAGTCAAGTTGAGTATTTACCTAATCAAACTAAGTTCATTTAGTTCTTATTGGCTCGAGCTCGACTTTGAGCTCATTTATTAAGCTCAATCTTGACTCGTTAAAATATTTAGATGCTCAAACTCTTTTGAAAAGCTCGAGCTTAACTCAATTGTTGAGCTCGACTCGATAGTTGAGCTCGATTTCTTGGGTTTAAATTAAAAGCTCATATTTTTTAAGAACTTTTTATTTTAATATAGAATTAGTTTAAAAATATTAAAATATATTATATAATTTTAATTTAAATTAATTTTAAATATATGTTAATTTGATTGAACTCCTCAATGAGCTTACGAGACGAGTCAGGCTAAGCTCGAGCTTGATTACCTTACGCGCTCGAGTATATGCTCAAGCTCAAACTCACGACTCGATAAGCTTGACTCATGAGCTCATTAACAAGTCAAGCTTGAGTAGGCTTATGATCTGGCTCGGCTCACTTACACCCCTAACCATCATCCACTACATTCATTTCACCACGGTTGTCTAACTACAATCATCTGCCACCATCACCCCACTATGATCTCCCAACCATCATTGCTTGACTACACTGATGGTCATTGACTTCATAACCCTCCCTAGGCAACAACATCATATGTTGATAACACCAACTTTTATTGACTTTATTGCATGCTATTATTATTATTAGTGTTGACACATGTCATTGCCTACAAAGTTAATTCATGTCATTATCATAAACTGATGCACATTATACTAATTTTGAGTCTTAATGTCAATACTAAGTTTTATAATGGATCTCTTAGTCTTTAATATCTTATATTCAGAAGAATAATCATGGCAAATAATCTCTTGAAGAAAACTCCAATGTCGCAAGACTTTTACGACTTCCACTACAAAATCAATTTTCTATTATTAGTTTCAATTACATTATATCAACACCTTCTCCAATTATAAAAAAGGGCATCAATCAGAACTAATGTTATACACAAATACTATATAATTGTGTATTATTTATATAGTTATAAATTCCTTGTGTAATGGAATATGTAGTAAGTGTATAAGTATATACTCCTGAAATACATACATAAAGCAAAGTACCTAATAGGAACTTAATATATTATTTCTTTGCATTTACTTATATATAGTCTTAAATTTTAGACCTTATAATAGCATCAAAATGATCAACCTACTATTCTAGAGGTGGCTAGCAAACATGGATATTTAATATGTAAAATGCTTAATAGGTAAACTTTGTTAGACATTTGAGATAAAAGGTTTTGCATACTTATCACTTAATTTTTATGTATGTATATATATAACACATAAATTTTATATGAATTTACTATAATATGATAGTGTCTAAATCACATCAAAAGAGTCATTTGTGTGTTCCCAAGGAACAAATCATGGCTATCCTCCTTAGCCCTTAATACACGAGTATCTTTTTGATGATTTTCATCAACAAGTTAGCTCAACTCCTCGATGGCTACCATGGTAGCATCTAGTTGTTTAACTTGATCCAATCAAAGTTGCTCCTTGAGGGGCTAACTAACATTATATACCACATCCTTATGCTTGTTACCCCAAGTTAACCCTCTTAACCACAAGGGAGAGAAAATCCTCTATGTAGATTGCCTTAGAAGCATGACTAGGGTGCCACTCCATGATAGTCCATCTCTTAAGGTGGTTGTTAGCCTCCTTCATCCAATGTCTTGGCTCAATGATGAAGCATGTTATTTCCACAATTGAGCATTCAAGATTAGTATAACGGATTATAGTGGGTGGATAACTTTTGGAAACCAAAATATTACCTTTGTTGGATAAATCATCCATTTATTGGATGACTCCATTTCCATCATCATTATAAGCTCTCTCATTCTCATCCAAACCACAACCTCCTTTATCACCACCCATATCATGATTTCTTCATTATTGCCCATATTATGATATCGTCCATTGTTGCTGCACTATAAGCACCTTTATTTCACTAGCCCCCATCGTTGCATGCATCACTACCTTCATCATGATCTCCGTTAATGCATCCTCACCATGCCCTCCTATATCTTCACCTTCATTTTTGCCCCCTTTGTCATCATAAGCTTCAAAATGCAACAACCACTTCCTTATTCATCATCATACTTGATACGTCATCACAAAATAATCTTGATTGAGCACGAATCTCGAGGCAAAATCAATCCGGAAACTTCAAAAATTAATTCCGGGAGCATATGAACTCTGATTCCAACGATCTTATAGTCAAATTGAGCGTCTCGGAAATACGAACCCAACGACACCAAGATCAACCCAATCCGAGCCCAAATGAGTCCGAATCAAAGGTTCGAAGCGCTGTTGGAAGGTTCAAATCGCAATTTGAGTTACCAAACGGTCTCCGAAGGAGAATCACCTTGAAGTTTCTAAGTGATCATCACTCCGTCTCTTGAACGATCAATCATTGAAAAAGGAAAATTTTTTAAGCATTGACAATCCAAGTCTAATGCATTGTCTAGTACTCACTAACATGCCAACCCTACTTAATGTTTCCCTATGAAGCATTGACCATCTCAAGTCTCTTGAGTTGATTGGATATGTGGAGACCAACCGAACAACCCAAAAATATTAACACTATTCTACTCGAATTAGGGAATTATGCTTTTCTTTCTTATATCTATCTCTCTTTGTTAGATATTTGTTCCTAGATTTAGGTTTGCTTTTTGTTTAGGTTTCTTGTATAGCATAGTATAGCCATTTGTGTAACTATTTGTATAGCTTGTAGGAGCCTATAAATAGGCTTTAGTTTGTTTTAGACTTGGAAGCCAAGAGAAATAAAGTTTACATAATTATTTTGGCTCTCCCCTATCCTCTCTCTATCTCTTGCAAGAAGATCTCTCAATATCTTCCTCCTTAGTTTCAACAATTTGGTATCAGAGCCCTGGTGGCGATCAAGGAAAGAGGAAGGTGTTCTGTGCAAGAAAAGAGAGGAGGTGGTGACTGCCGGTGCCGCCGACGTGCTTGCTCAAGCGAATCGTGCAAAGCACAGTGCAAGAATCGGAAGGTTACTGGAGTTCGGACGGTAGGCCGAGACGGACTGGGCCGTTGGTCTGCACGCAAGTAGCTGGAGGTGGCTTCAGTTGCTTGCAATCAGAATTATTGGACGCCGGAGTTGGTTCAACGTAGTCAGCGGAGGCAAACAAGAGGTGGACGTGCCTTGGTTGCGGAACAAAACGAAGCCGGCTTTGGCATGCGGCTTTGTACGTAAGAAAGAATCAGACATCTTGAACACCAGAGTTTTTGCTTGATTTTGAATCAAGTTTCGGTTTGGGATTTTATCACCGTTCTCTGGCATTTTTTCGGTTTCTGTTGTTTTCTTTAAGCTTCTTATTTTTTACTGTTGATGATCTACTGAAGAAATAAGGTGGAGTTTTGGACTCCGGGTGGAGTTAGGGAGACACTGAGGTAGTGTTGGCTGTTCTTGGAAAGCAGTGTTGAAAGTGCGAGGCGCTTGGAGGTACGAGGTCGTGCGGTGCACGAGGAGGCCGCATAGGAGCGCGGGGCATTGGTGACGAGCGGAGTGCAGGTGAAGGTGCAGGGCTCGCTGCACGGGTGGATATGTGTAGGATGTGGTTGGTGACAAACCACATGGGTGCAAGGCGCGGGCGCGGGGCTAAAAGCATTGGACGCTGGTTGGAGGCACAAGGCTCGGGCACTGAGTCGCAGTGTGCAGATGGATGCACAGGGCGCGGAAGCCGGGCTAGGGGTGCTTGGGATTGGCTGCATTGGACGCAGTGCGACAAGTGAAGATCTGTTGGAAGGTGGAGCTAGAAACTCAAGAAGTTGATTGATCGGTTCTTGAGAAATCTTTTAACTGTCGGTGGATGCTTTTGGCGGAG